CGAATGGGGCTCCAGTCTTTGTGCTTACCAACAACAACAACAACACCAACACCAACACCACCAACAACAACAACAACAACAACAACAACAACAGCAACAGCAACAGCAACAGCAACAGCAACAACGACAACAGCAGCAGCAGCAACGACAACAACACTAAGGACAAACACATGAACAACAACAACCACAACAACAACAACAGCAGCAACAACAACAACAGCAACAACAACAACAGCAGCGACACCATCATCAATAACAACAACATCAACAACAACATCATCAACAACAACAACCACAACAGCAGCAGCACAGCAACAACTACAACCACGACCAAAGCGGCAGCGACAGCGACAACAGTCTTCGAAGGGGGTGTCCCTTAAAGTACGGTCGATCTTTGGGTTCCTTCTTGCAAAAGTGGCATGCTGTCTTGGTGAGCACAAGGTACCAGGATCTAGAAAAAACATGCATTTGTCTTGTTCTGTTGCGGGCAGGTCGATCACTTCGACATGTTTCTGTCACACACGTGGGCTACCAGTGGGCGTTGGAAGCATCACGGCCAAAGTGACGATCCAAGTGCTTGAAAGAGTGCAGGTTGTGCTTTGTGTGAAGTGCTCTGGCCGATCCGGGGCTTAGGGGCTTGCCAGAGGGCTGGCCGTACTGCGGCTGCTACTACTACCGTTCATTATCTGGTAGAATGCAACAGCCACAGCGAAGCGCGCACCTTTCCAAGGATGTTCATACGCACGGCTCGAATGTCCTGCTGTGCAGGACTGCTGTAGTTTATGGCGAAGCAACATTCCGCAACAAACTACATGCGTATGCTTTCATCTCAACACACACAAAAGGATAGCGGTAACAGCATGTTGGTAGCAGCAAAAGCACCACGTGCATTGAACAACGTATCGAAATATCAGTTTCAGTTCATATAGTTAACAGGCTTTGCCTGCATGAACCACCGGCAGTCAAGGTACTTGGCACTCAGTTTCCAGCATGCTTGGCCCTACGTTGTCCTCACCTGGCTGCTCGCGATGGTGGTGGTCGAGCTCCTTACTGCCGAGTGGGTCCAAGTCTTTCCTGGTAGACACTCAAATCAACACTCTTAGTTTAGCCAATGTATTTCGGAATGTCTGACTCCCGCGCATTTATGCTTTTGGTGGTGAACAGGTTCTAGGTCTGAGAACGGATGTAAGAACTTACCTTGCTGACTTCTGGGCCCAGGGAACTCAACGAAGGCTCTTGACTTGTTTGGACCTTGTACCGGCGATCAGCCACGCAAGTTTCAGCTACCAGGGTTTCATGGAAGAGTGTCCTTTCAGCGGCTTGGAAGCGCTCAGAACAAGCTGCTATTTTCTTGAGGTTTGGGTACAAGCACAACCGTAAACCCTAAAGCCTACAACAACCTGTGCATCCTTACAGATCAACTTCAGGTGGTCTTGGCCTTCTCGTAGCTATGCCAGTATCTGTCCTGACGTTCTTCTTTGCTCCCTACTTTCCAGACACTCGGCCGTTCTGGAAATATTCCATAGACGGGGTCGTGCACACCATGGGGCTCTTACACGAACAGTAGAGTTGGTTAATGTTGCGGCGAGGCGTGCGTGCCGAGAGCTTCCCCGAGCCGCGGCTTTCGCAGTGGTGCGGTGCATACTATGCAACTAAGTCCTATTACTTACAAAGGATCAAGCCCGCCAGTATGTGGGGGGGAAGCATTGTTGTCCTTGGTCTTGAATCCCACCAGTACCTGTAGGGAAGCATTTGGGTCGTGGTGTCCTGGTGGGTTTCTGGTGGTTTTGCGGGTCTCGTCGTGGTATTTTAGCATTTGGTGGTCTCGAGTGGTCGCGGTGGTCTCAGTTTTCCTGGTGGTCGTGCTCGTCAGCGTCGCCGTCGTCCTGGTGGTGTGTCACTGTTTGGGGATCGATGCTGGCATGGCTGTGCATGTGCGCATCTTAGTCAGTTCGTAGCTCTTCAAAGATAACAGACTTCTGGTTCCATTACAGTATAGTTTGACAGCAAGATGTCACAAACAGTTGGTTCAGGGTTTCCAACAACAGCCAAGGACATCGGATGCAAAAAGCAATGTTGCTTCCTGGATGTGGTCAGCATCAACCAAGTTGACAAGGAGATGATGCGGCAGGGAATATATGGATCCGCGGCTGTCAAATCCTATCCGACCCATCAGTTGTACCGGTTTCAATACGATTCCCAACAGGGAGGGGTATTGGCTTCAGTGTGAGACCAAACCTTTGGCGACACAGATAGCCAGTCCGCGAGCCATGTCCTTGAAAGCTGTCTTAGCTGGCCGAGGGCTTGGTGGCTTCCTGGGCGCGTCCAAGGACACCAAGCCCTCTCGTAGTGCGCTTTTGCAGCGAGGTTCGAGGTGGATAGGTGGTATTCGTCGCCGTAGTCGGCAGTGGCAGCGGCATCGGCAATGGCAGTGGCAGTCGCAGTAGCAGTGGTAGTAGTAGTAGTCGTAGTCGTAGTCGTGGCAGCGGCGGTGGGGGCAGTAGTGGGGGTGGTGGTGGTGGTGGTCGTCGTAGTAGTAGTAGTAGTAGTAGCAGTAGTACTAGTACTAGTACTAGTATTAGAACTAGTAGCAGCAGTGGTCGCAGTAGTAGTAGTAGTAGTAGTAGTAGTAGTAGTAGTAGTAGTAGTGGTAGTAGTAGTAGTAGTAGTAGTAGTAGTCGTAGTGGTAGTAGTAGTGGTAGTGGTGGCAGTAGTAGTAGCAGCAGCA